CCATTCCTCTCTGAAATCAATAAAAATATACATATTTTAAAAACCTTCCACACATTAATCAGTTATTTAAAATTCCGTTTGATAATTCCAACATGTGTCATATCTGACTCTGGTTCTGATGATTGCTCTCTCTCTTCTGTGTTTGCCTTTTGGCATGCCTTGTAATTTTTTGTTGAAAGCCAGACGTGTTGTACTGAACAGAAACCGAGGTAAACAGGCCTCACATGTGAGGATTTACCTGGCGAGGGAGTGGACTGTGTTTAACGTTTGCTGTAGTTATAGCACCAGAGGCTGCAAATTCTTCCTTTTGTCTCTGTCTTAACTTTGTTTTCCCTAATTATTCCTCCTCAAGAGTCTGTCTTGCAGCTTTCAGCTGTAATCCACTATGATTATACTGGAGCCCTGGTGGTGTGGGGTAATATTGGGGGATGGGGTTCTATAATCTCTAGGTCAAATCTCAGTGTTTCCGTGGGCCTGTAACCTTCACGAGTGTTTCCCTGATGGTATAGCTTTTCCCTTGGCACCTTCCTCCCTCCGTGCCTGAAGCTTTCCCAATACATTTCCTTGACGTCTTCACCCCTGTTGATGTATTCTTTTCCCCCTTGGGTGAGACCGGAAGGCTAGATGGGCTAGCGCCGCTAGAGTGAGAATATCCTTCCCTCGGGGATGAGGCTCTGGCAGTCTTTTACCCTTCAGAGTAGGCCTTTGTAATGAAGTTCTAGGCATATTTTACAATGATTATTCATCTCCTCTCCCTGCCAGAGCCATAGGGGGTCTTTCTTGTTCTTCACTGTGGGGATCTGGTGGGGTTCCTGGAGGGAAAGCCCAGGAACCTGTGGAGACCCCTCTAAGACTGCGACCACACTCAACCTCCAGCAATTCATCAACGTTACCATGTATGCGTTCCTACCCGCTATCGCTCCAGCAGCTTCTGCTCCAGGGATACAGATTCTGTCTCTCCAGGTTTGGGGGCGGTAATTTGCCCTGCAACCTCAATTCTCTGATGGGTTCGTCCAGGAAAGGTCACTTTCAGTATGTTCAGCTATTTCTTTCTTTTTTTTTTTTTTTTAATATATTTTATTGATTGTTTACAGAGAGGAAGGGAGAGGGATAGAGAGTTAGAAACATCGATGAGAGAGAAACATCGATTCAGCTGCCTACCGCATGCTCCCCACTGGGTATGTGCCCACAACCAAGGTACATGCCCTTGACTGGAACCGAACCCGGAACCCTTGAGTCCGCAGGCCGATGCTCTATCCACTGAGCCAAACCGGTTAGGGCGCTATTTCTTGTTATAAGGACAAGATCTTTACATGTTTCAAGCTCCTTACATGTCAAAGCTGAAACCAGAATCCCCTTTATTTTATTTTGAATGGCCATTCCCTTCCCTCCATCTTGTCCCATACTGGCCCTGTCTCCTATCTGGCTGTACTAACAATGAACTTTCCATGACAGTGTTCTAAAAAGACTGAGTTTCTTGAGAAAAAGGCCCATATTTAGCCCCTTGTCTATGTAACACTTTGCCCATATAAAATGCTAAACACATTGATTTTACTGGTCACGTCCACGTATGGCACTCATCTAACAGTAGAAGCTTCGTGGGGCCGTGTTCCCCAGCACCCTGTCCTCTGAACTCCCTTTTGGGCTTTGGAATGAATTTTCCCAAGGCAAACTTCACTTACTGTAAATCAAGATTTACAAAAGTAACTTCTCAACATCTGGTTAGTTCTGACATTTTCTCAATTTTCTGATTTCTTTTTGTAATGACTTAAGTAGCCAGGTTAAAGTAGCCAAGATAAAATCTGACCAAATTCTGCCCTAGCTGGTTTGGCTCAGTGGACAGAGCATTGGACTGCGGACTGGAAGGTCCCAGGTTCAATTCTGGTCAAGGGCACATGCTTGGGTTGTGGGCTCGATCCCCAGGAGAGGGTGTGCAGGAGGCACCCGATCAATGATATTCTCTCATCAATGATTTTTCTCTCTCTCCCTCTCCCTTCCTCTCTGAAATCAATAAAAATATTAAAATAAAATCTGACCAAATTCCTAGAAATCAAAGGGCCTCTAGCTAAGTGCCCAAACCTGGCTATTTCCAAATTACCTGGGAATATGTTTTTAAAAATAAAGTCTTGGACCCAATCTTGAGAGTAATTGTGGTGTATAGCTAAGTTTGGGAAAATAGGATACTTCTAATCAGCAAGCTCTTCAGGTCAAAAAGAGCTTTGATACCCTCACTTAAAGTCAAACTAAAAAAAAACCAAAACAGCCATTTAATCACTGATGTTCTGCCTAGAGGACATAGGAAATGTTACTGAAAATTCACCCTTTCATTCACTCAATAAATTTATTGAGCATCAAATAAGGCCTGGGTACCAAGTCACAGCCCCTGTCCACAAGAAGAGTCAGATATACTTATTCCAGGGCCATCACATCCTGGCTAACCTGGAGTATGTCACTTAAGCTTTCAGAGCCTCAGTCTTCTCATCTACAAAGGAGAATATTATTTCATAGGAAAGTTCTCTGGCAAAGATCACAAAGGAACTATTGAGGAAGACATACTCTGCCCTTCTAAAAGCTTCTAACTTGTTTCCCAGTCCAAACGCTTGCACAGTGTAATAATCCCAGCTAGCACCTACTGAGTGGCTCATCTATATGCCAGGCAGTGTGCTAAGCTCTCTACCTGCCCATCCACATTTCAAACAAATCTTATCTGTAAAGGCCTCCCCCGTTCATTGGCTATATTCGTCCTCACTCCTGTAACCAAAACAAGCCAAGTAAGCCAAGGCAACCGGAATAGGACTTTTAACGTAGAGTGGGCCATAAGAGAGCCAAGTTGAAAAGCCACAGGATGTAATAAATAAAAGATGCTCCCAGCAACCCCCACCAGAGGTCATCATCACTACTGAGGATCACAATGGGCAGAACCTCCAAAGAAAAAACCAAATACCAGATAAACCCACCCAAAAACTGCCATGGATTTAGTGGTACCATTTGCTGTTACTACTAATATATCTGTGATTACCATTGCCATCAGAGAACTAGTATTAAGCCTTTACACGCCCCAGACATTGGTGTTCTATGGACTTGACATTTAGTACTTCACAGCTCTAAGTTACTCAAGGTCCCACTGATGTTGACCCTCTACAGCTGGCAGGAGTTGAGACGAAGCAATTACTTCCTAGGACACAGAGTCCACGACTCTTGCTGCATAACCCACTGCCAAGTTCACTTCCATTCTTTTAGGAAGACTCTTAAGGGCTTCTAGAACATCCTCCTGTGTGGTTAGAGTTAACAGCCCCTGCATTTTTACTTTACAGGTTAAAGATGTAATTTTAACATAGACCATGGTTTCACTTCTCTGAAAGACAACACTGAAGAATACCATCCCTGGCAAAAACATGTTACCTGGAATAGGTAACTTTTCACGTAACTTAAAACCTTCAGCTTTCTGGAGTTTGCCTGCCCTTAGGAAACTGTAGTGGTTAGAAGCAGGCCGACCAATACAGCGCATCCTAAACCACATTATTCCCTCATATATGAATGACCAAAATCAAAATTCCACAGTGAGTGGAAACCTCAGCACTACTGACATTTTTCTCCTGTGAGAAGCTATCCTGTGCCCCACAGCGTCTGTAGCATCTCTAACTCCTGCCCACTGGTTTTCGGTGGCATTCTCCAGTAGTGGTGAGCAACATCATCTCGGGATGTTGCCAAATGTCCCCTGGGGTTAAAGTCATCCCTGGTTGAGAACCACTGCTTTAGTGGTATCATTCAGTTTAGCAGAGCTACCATTACTTCGTTCTGAATACTGAAAACAGACTTCATTTCTCTAGCTCAATGAAATAAAATTCACATTGTTTAGCTTTGTGTCTTATAGTAAGTGAAAGCTCCAATATTATGGAATTGTGAAATACTAAGGCTTTATAGGGCAGCTCTGACTTTGCCCTGTGATTTCCAATCTTCTTGGTGGAAAACCTAATTTGACTGAGACCTAAGCTGGTTTCCTCTCAAATGGACAGACGTGTCTCTAGGTGCTGCTCTGGTGTGGGAGGACAAACCTGCTTTTCCTTGGGGATGAACTCTGGGTCACTGTGGGTCCCATAAGCACCGGATGTTGTGCAGAGTCAAACTAAAAGCCACATTCTGGCTGCAAAGCTCTGGCCATACCACAGGCTACGCAGCAAGGAGTCATGTATTTTCTGTTTGTTTGTTTTATCATTCACTAGAGGACCCATGCATGAATTTGTGCACGGGTGGCATCGGGCCAGCCTGCCCCGATGGGGGCCCATCGAGGCTGGGCTGGTGGGGGGAGGGGCCACGGGCAGTTGGCCAGCTGGCCCCGCCCCTGATCGGGGTATTGGGAGCCAATTGGGGGCCAGGCTGGCAGGGGGTCAGGGAACGATCAGGGCCCAGATCAGGCTGGTTGGCTGCTGCAGTGCGCGTCATAGCCACTGGTCATTCCAGTCATTCCATCATTCCGGTCACTGGGCTTTTATATATATAGATACAAGTCAGGCTTTTTTATCATTTATACAAGTTTGTCTTGGTTAAAGAAGATCAAGAGTGCCACTATCCCAAACCAAATTAGAGAGCATGAATCTGCTGACTACAAAAAAAGTTTTTACACCCTTGCTAAGTTTAAGTCACTCAGATGAACTACAAAAAAAAAAAAAATTCTTCTATAAACTAGGAGACATGGTATTGACTTATCTTAAAAGGTCTTCAAAAAAGAATGACTTGAGATTATAAAGCATTTTTCAAATACACAAAGTACTTCATAATGACTCAATAAGCCTTAAGGAATGCTTTTTCTTAGTACATCACTTTTTTTGTTGTGTAAAAGAAAATACCCCATTCAAAGGGTGGTGGCATATTTGATATCACCACTGTTTAAAGAGGAATGAAGTTACAGGAATGAGAAGTATATAATTAGTAAATAATCCCTCTCAACAAGTGAGTTAAGTAGGAAAGTTATAAAGGAAGAAAAGCCGGAGGCAACACAATTAGTGCATATCAGAAATGCAGTTTTATTTTTATTTGAAAACAACTTAAATTTTTAGACAAATGATTTTAGTATATAAATTTGATTTTGTTTTTGTACAGAATATAAAGATTCCCCTCGTTGATCTTCCATGTGAAGGGCATTACAAGCCTGAAGGGATACATTCTGCATACGAGTGTGTCTTGTGTGCAGGATGCTGGCAACCAGTGGTCAGTGCTCCTACACGTAAGTTAGGTCAAGGACATCACATATTAAAAAGGGGATAAGAGATTTCTAGTTAATCAGATTCAAGAAGCAAACATGACACAAAAACTGTGCAGCTGAGACGAGTTCAGTAACTTTAGTCGGGACACTGCGGATTATGCTGGAGTAACAGGTGTGTGAGGCGATAGTGTGCAGCACATCAAAGAGCCAGGAAGAGCTATTCTATAGAAAGGCTGGAATGAGGGATTTCACTAAAGCAAATTAACTTCTTGTCAACTGCCAAAGCAAAACAAAACAGAGCAGAGCGCATGAGTGTTAGTAACTGCAGGCATGTTAGACCGGTTTCTGTGCAGCATGCTAAGTTAGTTAGAGCTTCTTCACTGGCGCATACGATCATTCATAGTCACAGAAAGTTTTTTTTGCCACTTCTCGGCAAATTTCAGGCATGTCGTATTTTAGATGGAGTATAGCTTTTATCTATTATTTCATCCTGTAAAAACATGTGGAGACAACGTTCATTCTGTGCCAGAGGATGACCAGCGACCCTAGGAATAAAAGAGATAAATTTAGTCCAATCTTTTATAAAAAGAGGTGGGAGGAGTTGTCAAACACATAGTTTAAGGTTAGTAAGCAAATACAATTTAGTAATTGTAGGTGTTACTTGGAACTGCCCATAAAGGTATGCTCTAACAACTTTACCAAAGTTTATGGTAAATTTTCTTTCCTTTGGTCACAAGGTAATTTGAAAACATTCAATCACTAGCGTTGCACTGCTTCTGGCATTATGCACCCAGTCAGCTTCTTTACCTATTAGATAGTATATTATAAAAACCTAAATTAACTTTAAAAGTGAAATAAGACCTGATTCTGAGAATCCATTTTAAAGAAGGAAAAGATATAGGATTAGAGCTAGAAATACACTGGAGTTCAATAAAAGCCCCAAATAGTAAGAAATAGGCACCAATGTACAGAGGGCTTTTTTTTTGGGGGGGGGGGGAGAGGGGGTTGTCTTTATTTATTTAAAAGCTTTATTTATTGATTTTAGAGAGAGGAGTGGGGAGGGAGGGAGGGAGGGAGGGAGGGAGGGAGGGAGAGGGGGGGAGAGAGAGAGAGAGAGAGAGAGAGAGAGAGAGAGAGAGAGAGAGAGAGAGAAAATATTGATATGTTGTTCCACTTGTTTATACATTCTTTGGCTGATTCTTGTACATACCCTGACTGGGGATTGAATCTGCAGCTCTGGCATATTGGGATGATGCTCTAACCAACAGAGTTACCTTAGCCAGGGCCGCTTTTAAAGGTTTCCACTAGACCTAACACAGATGAGACTGGGCAAAGAGACTTCTATTTCAGAATTTAAAAACATCTAATCTAGCAACACCTTCTCTAAAAGGAAAGTATGTTCATAAAAAGACAACAAAGGTCATGTCTACAGAAGGTAACTAGAAGTTAAAGGCTTTGTGTAACTTTTCTTCTGTTTACTTACCACTCACAGATCTTCAAACCACTGGATAAAATTAAAGTGCTTCTAATAAATAGCTCACACAACCATATTCTCTAGGATTTGGCCTTATTTGGTTAAACTTAAGACAATACATAATTATTCTGAATGCTTTCCAGGCATAACTCTCCCTATTGGCCTTTTAAAAATTCCCATTTTTAAGTAGAAATAAAATTTTAAGTTATAAATTTTACTTTGAGCTTAAGAGTTTCTAAATAAAAGATAAACAACCCCAAATCTTCTTGCATTTCCAAAATAATGTATTTTGCCATAAAAATTTAAAAATATGCATTTTTACAAGACTTGCTGATAATACCTCCATCTGCAATCAAACAAAATTATTTGAAATTTATTTTAAGTTTTATTGTTCCTACTAGAACATCTTAAATTAGAAAGAATCATAAGTAAAACTGTACTTTTAAATGCTATAATTTTAAATGCAATTTGCATAAATTAACCCAGAAAAACAAATACAAAACTTAAGTCAAAACAAAGATACTCATTTTCAATCACTCAAGTGTATTTTATCATATGATATTCAACTTGTTATATACTGCTACTTTGTTTAAACAATACAAAAAATTAGTTAGGAAATGGCCAAAAGGAAAAACAACATTAAAGTTTAGCTTAATATAAAAATTACTAGTAGTCACATAAGGTAGTCTCAGAACACTGTTCCCTCTTACACCCTGAGAATCAGAAAGCACTTACTTGTTTATAAACTGCTCCAGCCCTTGCTTCCTTTCTTCAATGAAATTGTCATCAAATATTCCATCATCTCCTCTAAAAGGAAGTTGACGCAAAAATGCTTTCCCAGGGAGTGGGGGAACTACAACCTAAAACAACATAAGGAAAGAGCGTTCTCAAACATGCTAAGTTGTGAACATTTATAGAGCACAACAAGAAGATACAGTATATCCTCAGTATGACAGCCATCCCATGGTCAAACTTGTTTAAATATAAAAGGGAATCAGCAAAAAACACAATGAAAAAATATTCAATGCAAAATAGCTCATCAGAACAAAGCTCCTTAATGGCTGGGCCCCTAGCTTAATTATCACTTTTCCTGGACTTATTAGCAAAGCACAACTATACAAAGAGAACATTCAAGCAATACTGAAATAAAAGCTGCCACGCCCCTCAGACAGTTTTGATGTCACTTGGGAAAGACAATGCTTTATTCTGATGGAAACTGCAGGGACCAAAATCAACTCTCAATTCAACAAAGAAATAAAATATTAACAATGTTGACAGAGACAGGTAAGAATTAAGTGATCAGTTTCTTCTACCTCAGGCCATCCTGTACATGGTATTTCCTACTTGTGTCTGAGGTGATGATAAAATAATCAACTTGTCATCACTTTCATTTCCTAGGCTAAGAAATATGTTAACTTTCTCCCACATCTGCTATCCTATCTTTCGCCAAAGACCTGTCATTTCTTCCTTCCCACCCTATAGGAACATCCCAAATTTTGCCCTTCAAAGCCTAACTATCCTCTAGGATCAACTTATACTATATCTCTCTTCTGGAAATTATTTGGAGGTCAAATATTTGTTTGAATTAAACAGCAGCTAGCTAGCTCTTTATTTCACAGGTTAGTTTGGCTTCTTTATCTGAGAGTTTCTCAATCATGGCCCTAACTACATAATTCTTTGTACTGGAGGAGGATTTTCTTTTGCACTATAGAATACTTAATAGCATAGGAGAGAACCAAGATGGCGGCATAGGTAAACACCAGAGTTTGCTGCCTCGAACAACCACTTCAAAAATACAACTAAGAGACGGAACAGACATCACCCAGAACCACAGGAAAGCTGGCTGAGGGGAAATTCTTCAACTAGAAGGAAAGAGAACAGCATACTGAGGCTCAGAGGAGGCGCAGTGCGGAAAATACAAAGGTGCGGAGGTGCGCGCAGAGCGGGCTGGTGGCTGAGGGCGCGGTTGTCGTTTTCAATTGGGAGGGAGTCTCAGATTCTGAGCTCCAGTTCTGGGCGAGTCTCTAGGGACCCAGACTCAAATGGGAGAAGCGGGACTGTCTGGCATCCGTCGGAACGCGAGGGCAGCTTTCTCTCTGAGGTTTGCAGCGGTTGCTGGGACTCTGAGAGGCAGAGCCTCTGGAGACGGGACTGAGAGCAGCCATAACTGCTCCCTCCACCCGCCCTGTTTGATCCCGTGCGACCCGCCCCGCCCAAGCCCTGCACAGAGCCATTTGCCGGAAAGCCTCAGGCAAACGCTAGATTAGCACCTCCCCAGAGGACAGAAGTTTTCCCACTGCAGACACAGCTGATTCTCACAGTCAGTTGGCCTGGAGGTCAAATCCCCCCAGTATCAACTACAACAATCAAGGCTTAACTACAACAAGACTGCGCACAAAGACCACTAAGGGGTGCACCAAGAAAGCATAAAAAAAGGGGAGACAAAGAAACAGGACAAAATTGTCCATGGAGGATATTAAGTTCAGAACCACACTTTTAAGGGCTCTCAAGAACTGTCTAGAAGCTGCCGATAAACTTAATGAGATCTACAAGAAATTTAATGAGACCCTCAATGCTATGATAAAGAACCAACTAGAAATTAAGCATACACCGACTGAAATAAAGAATATTATACAGACTCCCAACAGCAGACCAGAGGAGCACAAGAATCAAGTCAATGATTTGAAATGCGAAGAAGCAAAAAACACCCAACCGGAAAAGCAAAATGAAAAAAGAATCCGAAAATACGAAGATAGTGTAAGGAGCCTCTGGGACAGCTTCAAGCGTACCAACATCAGAATTATAGGGGTGCCAGAAGATGAGAGAGAGCAAGATATTGGAAACCTATTTGAAGAAATAATGACAGAAAACTTCCCCCACCTGGTGAAAGAAATAGACTTACAGGTCCAGGAAGCGCAGAGAACCCCAAACAAAAGGAATCCAAAGAGGACCACACCAAGACACATCATAATTAAAATGCCAAGAGCAAAAGAGAAAGAGAGAATCTTAAAAGGAGCAAGAGAAAGAAACTCAGTTACCTACAAGGGAATACCCATACGACTGTCAGCTGATTTCTCAACAGAAACTTTGCAGGCCAGAAGGGAGTGGCAAGAAATATTCAAAGTGATGAATACCAAGAACCTACAACCAAGATTACTTTATCCAGCAAAGCTATCATTCAGAATTGAAGGTCAGATAAAGAGCTTCACAGATAAGGAAAAGCTAAAGGAGTTCATCACCACCAAACCAGTATTAAATGAAATGCTGAAAGGTATCCTTTAAGAAGAGGAAGAAGAAGAAAAAGGTAAAGATACAAATTATGAACAACAAATATGCATCTATCAACAAGTGAATCTAAGAATCAAGTGAATGAATAATCTGATGAACAGAATGAACTGTTGATTATAATAGAATCAGGGACATAGAAAGGGAATGGACTGACTATTCTTGGGGGGGAAAGGGGTGTGGGAGATGCGGGAAGAGACTGGACAAAAATCGTGCACCTATGGATGAGGACAGTGGGTGGGGAGTGAGGGCGGAGGGTGGGGTGGGAACTGGAAGGAGGGGAGTTATGGGGGGGGGGGGAAGAGGAACAAATGTAATAATCTGAACAATAAAGATTTAATTATAAAAAAAAAAATAAAACTTGGTTGGATAGTCAAAAAAATAAAAATAAAAATAAAAATAAGAATATTTAATAGCATAGATACCACCAGTAGTACCCCTAGTTACGACAATAAAAAATGTCTCCTAAAGTGTTAAGTGTCTCCTGGGGGACAAAACTGCCCCTGTGGAGAACCACCAATCTAGACTATTAATGCCTTCAAATCAAGAACCCTCTTAGACTACTTATGGTCATTTTAATAAAAGCTGGGCATACAAACCAACCACTTAGCTGGAACCTATTTTACACCAAAACAGAAAAAAAGGTGTAATCACACAACGCAAAGGAGAACTATAAATAGTAAACAACAGTAATACAAATCATATGTATTCTAAGATGTAAAACTTCAAACCCTTGAAGCAGAGTTTCTATAACTAGGAGTTATCCTAAAACAATAATTCAGCAGGGTAAAAAGGGAAAGAGCAACACAACTTCATACAGATTAGCAAAAATAACCCTACATAATAAAAGGCTAATATGCAAATCGACCAAATGGCGGAACAACCGGTCGCTATGACGCGTACTGACCACCAGGGGGCAGATGCTCAATGCAGGAGCTGCCCCCTGGTAGTTGGTGCGCTCCCACAGGGGGAGCGCCGCTCAGCCAGAAGCCCTGAGCCAGGCTCATGGCTAGCGAGCAGAGCGGCAGTGGCAGGAGCCTCTCCCGCCTCGTGGATTTCCAACTGCCAGCCTAAGCCATCAGTCGGACATCCTCCAAGAGCTCCCAGACTGCGAGAGGGTGTAGGTCAGGCTGAGGGAACCCCCAGAGTGCACCAATTTCGTGCACCATGCCTCTAGTAATAAAATAAAATGGTGCCGAAGCCGGTTTGGCTCAGTGGATAGAGCGTCAGCCTGGGGACTGAAAGGTCCCAGGTTCGATTCCGGTCAAGGGCATGTACCTGGGTTGCGGGCACATCCCTGGTGGGGGATGTGCAGGAGGCGGCTGATCGATGTTTCTCTCTCATCGATGTTTCTGACTCTCTCTCTCTCTCCCTTCCTCTCTGTAAAAAATCAATAAAAATATATTTAAAAAAATAAAATAAAATAAAATGGTAACAGCTATTATTATCTGATCAATGTATTAACTAACCTTATTGTGGTAATCATTTCACAACATATACATACATCAAATCATTATGTTGTACACCTTAAACTTCCACAATGTTATTTATCAATTATATCTCAATAAAGCTGAGGGAGGGGGAAAGACACTTCTTTCCTATAGTCATAAAAAATTTCCTTTGTTTCCCAAAACTTTCCTAACTTGTTTTGTACATTTACAGATCAAAAGATCTATACTTTACATACAATGAGTTATAAATCTTTATTCCCAAATAGACAGCCAAATGTTTCAACCCCATTTGCTGAATATAAATTCCTTTCCCCACTTATCAAGTGTTTTTTTGTTATGAACTAAATTTCCAATAAACACATGGGTCAGCTTCTAAATTATATTACATCCACTAATCTACTTGCCCTTCAGAACAGTCTAAAGATATGTTCTGGTGTCTGTAGGTGCTTAAGTATACATTGAAAGTAATTTCTGGCTATTTTTGAGCTTTGTCAGATTCTAAAGTTCATATATAAACTTGTAAGTTTATAAAGACCCTGACAGATACCTTTATTAGAATTTTATTAATTTACTAGAGGCCTGATGCATGAAAATCGTGTAAGAGTAGGCCTTCCTTCCCCCGATGCCAGCACTGGCTTCACTCTGGCACCCAGGACCCGGGCTTCCCTCCAGCCGCCAGCTTCATCCAGAAGGTGGTCCGGAAGGATGTCAGGTCTAATTAGCATGTTACGCTTTTATTATTAGAGATAAATAAGTATGGAAACTGCCTTACTCTGTCAGGTCTACTGCTAAAATGCCACCTGTAACTGAGGCGTTCCCTTGACTATCCTATGAGTAGCTCTCTCTTAGTTTAAACTCCTTTTGTTTTAAAATATATTTTATTGATTTTTTACAGAGAGGAAGGGAGAGGGATAGAGAGTTAGAAACATTGATGAGAGAGAAACACCAATCAGCTGCCTTCTGCACACCCCTCACTGGGGATGTGCCCGCAACCAAGGTACATGCCCTTGACCGGAATTGAACCTGGGACCTTCCAGTCTGCAGGCCGACACTTTATCCACTGAGCCAAACCGGTCAGGGCTAAACTCTTAATTTAATTTGTTTTAGAGCACATCACCATTTGACGTTTTATATATATATCTCACTATATTTTCTGCCTTTCCCTCACCACCATCCCAACTTACCCAAGAGAATGTAAGCATCATAAAAATGGGGACATTAATTGTTCACAACTCTATTACTCAAAGAACACACTGAATGAGCTCTCAAGTGTTTATAAGGTAAATAAATCTTCAAAAGTGAATTATTTGGTTGAAGCATTATCCTGTATAGCCACTTAAAGGTTGCAGTTGGATTTCCAGTCAGGACACATACCTAGGTTGCAGGTTCGATCCTAGTTGGGGCATGTACAGGGACAACTGATTGATGTTTCTCCCTTTCTCTCTCTCCCGCTACCCTCTTTCCTCTCTCTAAAATCAATAAACATATCCTCCAGTGAGGATTTGTTTTTTAAGAGAGAAAAAAGTGAATATTCCAAAACAAGAATGTAGTATTTCTATTTATTACAGTCTTTTTTTGTCTTTCAGTAAAAAAATTTTTCCCCTAATCCTCACAGGAGGATATGTGTTTTTTAAATTGATTAGAAAGAGCAGGGGAGGAAGGAGGGAGAGAGAGAAACATTGATGTGAAAGAGAAACATTGTTCAGTTGCCTTCTGAATGCACCCCATCCAGGGGTCAAACCCACAACCTAGGCATGTGCCCTGACCAGGAATTGAACCCACAACCTTTTGGTGCACAGGACAACAGTCCAACCAACTAGGGATTTAAGTTTTCTTTATATTTCTCAAAAAAGCTAATCTGAAGAATATCGGCATATATCACACAAAGTATGCTAAATTCTGGTTTAAAAACTTTTTAAAAAACATATTGATTTCAGAGAGGAAGGGAAAGGGAGAAAGAGATAGAAACATCAATGATTAGAGAGAATCATTAATCAGCTGCATCCAGCATGAAACCCGCAACCCGGGCATGTGCCCTGACGGGGAATCGAACTGTGACCTCCTGGTTCATAGGTTGAAGCTCAACCACTGAGCCAAACCAGCTGGGCTTAGAAATTTTTGTTATATATAAATGTATAATGATGAAAAATGTACTTATTAAGAGTCAGTAAAAACACTGGAAATACAATGATATATGAGATGTATTGAGGAAGAGAAACTTGGCAAGGGGTATGGAGGGGAAGGTAGAATAGGAAGGAAAGGAAGCAATAGTAAGATAATGCTAAGAAGTAAGTGTTATCCAACTGTGAGTCAGCAAAGGCCTCAATTAGGCCACTAACGTAGACAAGAGAAGGAAGAGAGTTCTGAGGAAAAATTACAGACTTCCTCCATCTCCCATGAAATAAGACAAAACTAAACTATTTGAAAAAAAGAAATCATATTTGTTTTACCCGCTTTATTCAAAGTAATTTTCTGAGAAATAGCAAATATTAAAATTTGGAATGTTCTGCTTTCAAGTTGCATTACAAATAATTCTTACCTTGCTCTCTCTTTCTAATTCACTTCGCAGCCATTCAAAGTCACTGTATCTTCTTCTAACTGTAGATTCCTTCAGCTTGAAAATAGGCAGATTTGTCTGAAACAAAAAAGGTCACTTCTAAATTGAAGCATATTACAGGGACTTTCAAATAAGGAGTGGTGAGATCTGTTTGTCAAATTAATAACATGGCAAACCTGGTGACCTTAAGATAAGAAAATCACAAAGTTATTAAGGTGTCATTTTATCTTTAGCAAAATGAAGTTTAGCTGTTAAAAAAGTATGTTATTTACACTACAGTACACTTTCTATATGCACATTTGCACATATACTATTGGATGTCATTCTGTCTGAGGTTAGTTACATAAACAAAAGGCGATTTTTTATATTTCAGTGATTTATAAAAATGTCAACTGAACAGGGTGAAGATACAGCTAGCTGATTGCAATTCAGTTTAAATGGCACCTCAGTATATAATGCTCATTAGAGAAACAGACCTTAACTACTTTGAAATGAAATACAAAATATTTTATTATTATTAGATTAGATGTTGCATAATGGAAGAAATAAAGAATTATTCTTAATGATCTTTAAAAATGCCAAAAAGTCACTCTTGACACTAGTAGGAAACCACGAACCATACACTTTAGATCAGATTCACAGATCCAGAGCTTTACAGGCTGAGGGGAAAATTAACAATGGGAAACATAGTGCCCAGTACTTGGAGGTTACATCCGAGTGGAAGAAAACTTTTAGAGACTGCAAAAATCACTTATGTCAGCTTCTAAGTTTAAAATAAGAAGAAAGACTTGTGTTATCTTTTACTGATCCCTAAAAAAAGAGAGAACATAGTACCAAATCCAATAAAAAGTGGTTTATGATTAAGGACAATTAGCGGAAGCTGTATAGCATCACAATTTTATTATCAAGAATAATTTTTTTTAAGAATAAATTTTATGAGCCCTCATTCACTGCTGGTGGGAATGTATACTGGTACAGCCTCTATGGAAAACAATATGGCAACCCCTCTCTGGGTATCTACCCCAAAAATTTGAAAACATTTGTTTGTTAAAATATATGTACCCCTATGTTCATTGCAGCATTATTCACAGTGGCCAAGACATGAAAACAAAGTGTCCTTCGATAGATTGTTGGATAAAGATGCGGTACATATGTACGATGGAATACTACTCAGCTATAAGAAAAGGTAAAATACTGCCATTTGTAACAATATGGCAGAACTTGAGAATATAATGCTAAAAAAAGTAAGCCAGACAGAAAAAGTCAAGAATCATGATTTTACTCAGATGTAGGATATAAAACTGAAAACAACAAACAGGGGGGTGGGAGTGGCTGGGGAGAGGTTAATGGGGGGAAAAGGAGACATATGTAATACTTTAAACCAGTGGTTCTCAACCTGTGGGTCGTGACCCCTTTGGGGGTCGAACGACCCTTTCACAGGTGTTGCCGTCACCTAAGACCACCGGAAAACACATACACAATTACATATTGTTTTTGTGATTAATCACTATGCTTTAACTATGTTCAATTTGTAACAATGAAATTGGGGGTCACCACAACATGAGGAACTGTATTAAAGGGTCGAGGCATTAGAAAGGTTGAGAACCACTGCTTTAATGACAGACGATTCATTGCTAAACAAATGACATGAACTTACGGTATTGATAAATATAGCCCAGTACTGTAAATGTAGTTTATTGTCCTTATGATGTTCTTAGTAACATTTCCTTTCCTCTGGCTTACTTAATTGTAAGACTACAGTATATAGTACATATAACATACAAAACGTGTGTCAATAGGCTATTTATGTTATGGGTCAGGCTTCCAGCCAACAGCAGGCTATTAGGAGTTAAGTTTTGGGGAAGTCAAGTTGCAGGAGGATTTTCACCTGCATGGGGGGTGGCACTCCAACCGCCAGTGCTGTTCAAGAGTCAAATGTATATACTTTCAGATTATAATTGGTCCTTAATTCAACCTTTGCACTTATAGAACTATAAACTGTTTTAGAGCTGAAAAAAAAAGTTAACTGCCACTAAAAGAAAAGACTGCCTTCTTATTTTGTATACAAATCATCATATAAAATTCACTCGTAAGAAAATTCTAATCATTTGTTAAACTTAATGCCACTGGTAATTGTCATTCAGCTAAAGAGAAGCTTTTTATTCAAGATCTTAAACCCACTTTGTAGTGGTCTAAGCTTTTTCTAAAGTGTATTAACTTCTCTATGTTGTATACCTTATAGCTTGGAATCTTCTACAGATGCTATTGGGCATAACACTGTATAGATTTCAAGCATGAAACCAAATCTCACAAGAGGTTTAAAAGCACTTGAATTTTCTTTCCCAGGTAACCACAACATTTGTCCATTGTATTAATGACTAAGAGCAAATTGCACCTAACAAGACTCTTATTATACTAAAAGTCAAGCTTATATTTAGAGATGCTGGCTTGCTGTACAGAGAGGTATTCTCATTCCCCCCAGGGAATAAAATTAGGTCCCCTGGAGAGCAGGATGATAATTCCCAGAAAGAAAGCACTGGATTATTTCTCTCTAATTTCACTCATTGGCTTTTCAACCAAGTTCACCCTTCCGCATTAAAATATTAAGTCTTTGTAAGTGTCTACAGGTAGAAAGGCCTTTACAGAATTGAGTGTTTTATGCAGGTGAGATTTTACATTTTGAATTCCCTCCTCTCAAATTACTTTACAAAGGGGATTAGCTGCTCTCTTTATTCAGTATGTTAAGATCAAGCTTGTGAAAAGAGTTCCCTAAGAATTTTCATACTTCTGGGTACGGAAGTCTATAAAGTTAATCTCTGAAACAACATATCAAGCTTACAGGTACAATGTTGAGGGAAGAGTGCCAATCTGGCTCATTTTACCTCCCATTTTCCCTTTTGAACTTTTGACACAATCATGATTATATCTGATTCACTTTAATAGTAGGGGAGTGGGAGGGAGAAAAAAATCCAATCCTTTCTATGATTAGCTAATAGTTTAACAGATTATACATTAAAAAAGGATCATGGTTAGTTTAAAGAAAATTCTTTTATTTAGTTTTCTCAGCTGGCTATGATTTCTCTTTGTATAAAGACTGCCATACTTTTGATAGTCACATCAAGTAATTCTTAATATTATTTGCTCATTACTTTAGAGTGTAAGTTTGCCTGTCAATGTCTTCCTGATCATCATAAGGAATTTCAATTCAACTTGATCAAAATACAAATGGGAAATGCACAGGTTTTTTGTTTAAGCCACTGAACTGTCACCACTGATTACAAACTCTTATGACTGGTCACTTTCAACTAAACACTTATAAAATGTTCTACTTTGGTTTGTTTTTTTTTTAAAGAAAGAGGAACAAGGATAATAATTCTTTCCAACAGTTTTGGGAGGATTCAACTATTATTACATTCTGGGAGCATCTATACTAGAGTATAGTGCTAGGTAAGGTGGGGAATATAAATTTATGTGCTTAAAAATACCATACATCATAAACAAAAATAAAGTTGAAACATCAAGAACAAATTGTAGACAAATATCTGCAACATAAAACAAAGAGGTAATTTCATTAAAAGATAAAGAAGTTAAAAAACAATGAAAGATAAAGATGAATAACCTGACAAATAAAATAGGCAGAACATAGAAAAACTAATGGCCGATAACACCCAACTTCACTCACACAAGAAATGCCAGTTAAAACAGTAAGATCCCATTTTCATATATCAAACAGATACGCATTAAAATTTAGTTCCCAGTGACAGTAAGGGTAGAGAGATAAACAACTAAAAACACCGCTGATGCCCGGCTTGTGTAGCTCAGTGTTTGAGCCTTGACCCATGAATCAGGAGATGTTGGTTTGATTCCTGGTCAGGTCACATGCCTGGATTGTGAGCTGGATCCCCAGTAGGGGGCATGCAGGAGGGAGCCAATCAATGATTCTCTCTTGTCACCGATGTTTCTATCTCTCTCCCTCTCCCTTCCTCTCTCTGATATCAATAAAAATATATTTTTTAAAAAGTTATTAAAAAGAAAAATAAATAAAAATACGTGCTAATGGTAGTGAAAATTTGGCACAACCTGTAAGGAGAACATTTTGGTGACATCTTTCACCCCTTTTTTTTTTAAAAAAAATTCTTTTTCAATTAGATTTGACATACAGTATTAGTTTCAGGTGTAAAACATAATGAGTAGATACTGACATACCTTACAAAATGATCACCCTGACAAGTCTAGTAGCCATATGACACCATGCATAGTAACTACATTACTGAGTATACTCCCTATGTTGTATCCCCATATCATTCCTTTAAATGCATATATCTTTTGAACCAAGAGGTTCACTAAGGATTAATCCTACAAATATTTCCACATGCAAAAAGATATTGGTGCAGAGGTTTACATTAGCAGTGTTTATGTAATAGCAAAACAAAACTAAAAACCTAATTAAATTCTTACAATCGTAAAATGAAATTTTATATAGCTTTTACAAAATATAACATTTATAACATCTAAATATGGGACACAAAGTTAAAAGAGCAAAAAGAAGTCCATCAAAAATCTCTACTCCATATCCTACCTCAACTATTGAAATCAAAGACATCAGTGGTTCTTCAACCTGGTAAACTTCAGAATTACCTGAGTAGCTTAAAACAATTTTTGAAGTGGAAGTATAACACAAACATAGAAAAGTGCGCAAATACACTGAGGTACAGCTCAATAAGTTTTCAATGGTAATAATCTGGGTAGTCATTAATAATAAAAAAAAGTCCTGAGTCCTACCTCATATCTCAGGTCAACTAAACCAGCTTTTAGTGGAATAGGCTCTTTAAAAAGAGTTCCCCAAATCTAAGTAACAAAATAAACTGATGAATGGAGTGACTCCAGAGACATGGAAGCATGGAACAGAGAGCAGAATCTCGGAGGGAAGGCCGAGGAGGGTGGGTAGGCGGGTGGGACGTAATCAAACAAGAACCTTGTATGCATCTATGCATGGCCCATGGCCACAGACAATTGGGGCAATGTGGGCCTGGGGTGGGGTGGGGCTGCTGGAGGGGGTTAATGGGGAAAACAGGACA